CGTAGTTCATCAGAAACAAAATCCAGAATGTTTTAGTTGTTCCGGTTTTGGCTGAAATGAAATCTGGAGGGATTTTGGAGGGATTTGATGGGACAAGTCAGGTAAAGCTGGAACAGGCCATTCCTTCTCTCCCCTTGCATAGCCTGTGTGTTGCCCCCCCCCCATCCTGATCTTCCCAGCCCCTTCTCTGTCTTCCGTCCGCACCGCTGTCACTCTCTCATGTGCCTTTCCAAAGGAGACCCCTCAGCCTTGTCTTTTCCCCATGATAAGCTGCTCCCAAGCCCCTCCTGGCCAGAAGAACCCCATTTTGGTCCATCTCCACCTCCTGTGTATGGACCCCCCATCCAAAACACACGTTTCCATGCATGCGCAGACCACCCCAAGCCACTTGTTCCACACCCACAACGGTTTGGCATTGCTCTCCTTGGTTTGCACCCAGCTAGCCTGAACCAAAGACAAGGGGAAGGTCCTTGGGGGAAGGAGAGCCAGCCAGAATGTGTCATGAAGGTGTGATTTTCACCAGCATGCCTGGATGCTCCTGAACATGCAAGGAGGCTTTCCACTTTCAAGGGCCTCTGATGCTCTGTCAGCAAAAGCGAATCCACCTGCGTCCCCTTGGGAAGCCCTGCTGAGCACCGCAAATGCAAATTGCCCCGACATCGAGAGCAGCACTTTAGGACTTTGTGGGAAAACAAAAAGCTGTGCACGTCTTTATTGCACGGGTGCTTATCCAGGAGACCTTTGATTAAACAAATGTTCGGAGGTGCTTTTCTTGCTGATGCAAGACGGCTTCCATTTTGCTAGAGAAGGAAGCCTGGAAGGAGAGCGGGGAGGGGTGAAGCATTAAATCGCAGCCCCGTGTGCGGTGCCATGCTTCAAAAAAATAATTTTCCATGCTACACAAAATTCCTAAACGGATCCTGATTATTTTTGTGAAACATCTGGTCTGCAAATGAAGTTGCCTCAAGGGTGTCGTGCAAGCCAACCGCTCTGCCAAAGCGCTGTTCTGACTTGGGCTGCAGATCATGCTGGACCCCCTTCCTTGCTGTTCTTCATCTCTCCGTCTCTTGCCCGTCTCTGCCTTTCCGTGTTCTTGTGTGAACTGAGCCGTTGCTGACTTTCACTGAAATGTAATACAGAAGAAATGAGGATTTGTTTTGTTTTTAAAGGGAAATGAATGCAGGTTTCTGACCAAACTTTACAATCCCAGCAGCTTGGTTCCATCAAGTTCTGCTTTTAAGAAACCCTGGAGCATTGGGTGGGCTCCAGACTTTTTAGCTTGGGTGAGCTGCCTGGAACTGGTGCTGCCCAGATCAAACCAAATCAAAACTGTATTGCGGTCTTGGATCAGAAATCCAATATCATAAGTAAAACTTAATACATAGTGAAATATTCAATAATGTTCATACCTAAGCCAAGTTAGCCCTGCCAATAGTCACTTTGTTCCATCACGATGATCTTCCCAGGGCGTGGGGCCCTAGATCCTCAGAAAGGAAGTGTGGCTTTGTGTCTGGATTCTGCCCCCCACCCAGGGCTCACTCTTTGGTGGGATCTGACTAATGACCCATCCTGTGGCCGGTGGGTGAAAACTGGCAGGCAGCTGAAGGCAAGATCGTTTCTCAAGGCAGCAATTAACTCCCGGTACCCAATTTCTATATACAAGACTTTGCCTGTGCAAACTTTTAGGGCATTTATTAAAAATGTGTCCTTGGGTTTTCATTTTCATTTAAAAAATCCATTCTGTTAGAGACTGTGGACTAATTTTATGGATTAGTTTTTAAACCCTCAGTCTGTCACATTCAGTGAACAATTTTAAGTTGGAGAGAAGCCATCTGAATAGATCAAAATATGCCGCAGAGGAGTTTCAGCTCTACTGTTTCACATGAATATTGCCAAGCTGTCTCGGGGGGTGCAAGGGGTGCTTGTTAGTGATTTTCTCTTCACAACCTGGTTAAATGTGTGATCCCAAAGGCCTGGACCATTCTGGCATGTTCCACTTTTGTGTTCCATAGTTTGATGGGGAAGGTAGAACCTCCCATGGGTTGAGTCCGAGCAGCTCCAGGGATGCGTTCATGTCGTTCTCTTGGCACTCCAGTGGAACGAATAATGCCTTCGTCATCTGTGTGTGTGTGTGTGTGTGTGTGTGTCTGTGTTTTAAGAAAGCGCCTTTGAAAAGCAGGTCAAATCTTGAGCAAAAACTGACCTTTCATTCTAGTTGGACCATCCTTTCTCCTGATCTCAGGTCTGAATTATCCTTGAGACCAGGTTCCCAAACTAAAGGCATGGGCAACTTCTCGTCATTATGACAGGCAGACAGGATGGCTTTAGTGCAGAGTTTGCATATACGCTGTGCTCTTTAGCCGGGAACAGGGGAGGGCATCCCCCAAAGGGAGCTCAGACTTTCTCTCTCTCATAGGACACTGGCACACTCTGGAATTGGTTTTTATCTGTTTCTTGGGGTCCTTGCCAAAGATGGCAGCGGGCGCTCTTGTTTGCCCTTCAGAAGGAGTTGGGAGGGCTGTCCTGTGTGCTGCCTTTGCGTTGCTGGAAAGTGCCTTATACACGTTTCTCCCCGTGCACCTCTGCATCTTTGGCAGGCAAAGGCCTTATCGGACTAGGAAGCCGCTGGGAGGGTAGCTGGGAGGCTGCATTGCCCGGAGAGGCAGGGCACCGTGCAACTACTTTGCTGCTCGCCGCGGCCCATCCCTCCCCCTCCCTCTAATCGCAACTTTGCCATTCCAGCTGCAGCCAACATAATGTTGTTTGACTTGGAATATTTGTTCGCCTTAACCGCTTGAAATTTTTGTGTTTCATTTTTGTTTGTTTGTCTCCTGCTCTGTCCCTGGATGGGAAAGCGAGCTGCACTGTGGGCCCGGAACCATATTCCTTAACAAATCGTCTTTTTCCAGCACGTGGATAGAAGTTCTGATTCCTGCACAGTTTTGCATCCCCTGCAGCCATCCAGGACACCATTCGGGGTTGCTTTGGAGATGCCACAAAATTTCAGAACAGAAGGCCCAGCTCACGCTGACTCAGCTGCCCCCCCCCCCGTCTTATCCCCATCCCACCCCTGCACACAAGCCTCAGTGTGCCCTTCCTAGAACAAGGCCTTGTTGGCTACGCCACGGCGGTAACGATGGGGAGACCTCAAGCTCTTCTTGCTTCTGCTGCCCTTGGGCGGTTTGGGTGCTCTGACTTGGCTAAAGCTGCCTGCAGAAGCTGTCTGTGATGGGAGGGAGGCTCAGTTTGTAGGGGAATTGTGGTCATGCCAGTTTTGACCAAATGCCTCTCTTAGTTGGGCAAAGAGGATGGTTTTGCTCCAGGTATTAGAATGTTCCAGCCCGTAAGTATGATGTGCCCCCACTCCTGCCCCACCGGCACGGGCATTGTCCAGGTATTTCTTTGGTCCTGCCCCCTGCTCTGGGAAGGGAAGTGCACACGCACCCTGGCTGCAAGAGGGAAGTGACCCTGCTTTCAGCGTAGCAGGAAGGTCAACCCACTCGCAGAGTGCGGAGAAACACCACCCCGTCCTCGTTCACTGTGATCGTGCAGCTGAAGTTGGAGGTCGCTTGTGGGCTCCCTTGTGTGTTGCAGCGCTTTGCACAAAGACATGCTTTTTTCATTTAAACATTGCCTCTGCTGAAGAGAGAAAGCCCTCCTTGGGTCCGCCAATGGCTCCTTGGAGCTGCGCTGGGGAAATTCGGTTTACATTTCCCTTCTCAGCACAGTTCCACCCAACAGAGCAGCATCTCTGGGTTGCAGCCCCGAGAGATGCTGCTGAGGACCCACAGGGTGCTGCTGAAGCATCCAATGCCACGGCCAGCTCCTGCTGGGATATTCAGGTACCCGGGGTCCGGGGCTCGTTTTAGAGAGCCGAAGGATTGGCCGGTCTGGGTCATAAGTGCAGGCCAAGCCAGGCCTAAGCGCTACATCGGACATGAGCTGTAACGCTTCAGATCCTCTGATGTTGAGCAAACTCCACACAGCCTTTGAGCTGCTGTGCTGTGCTGGGCACAAGAAGAGCTACAGTTGCATCAGGAGGGTGGAAAAAGACCCCTTTGGCTTCTTCAGGGTGGCCTGGTCCCTGGAGAATGAAGCCAACTGCAAGGGACTCTGTTGTGATCTTGATGCCAAAAGAGACGTTCACCATCCATCTGAACCCCTTCAGCTTAGCTCCAGAAGGCAGGGCTGCCTGGGGATATCCTGTCAGTAGTGTCCTCTGCTCCCCCACCCTCACTGGGGCGGGGGGGGGTTGGCATGTTGGTGTCCCATACCTTCATTTTTTCTAAGAAGACATAAAATTTTAGACCCACTTCATTTCTATGAAATGTTTGAGAGCGAAGGGGGTGGTTTTTGCAGAATGCATCTCTTCACTTTCTGCAAAGACACCGTGCGCCCTTGCGGTGGTCTCTCTGCATGGCTTGCTGGAGGCAAAACGTCTTTCCCACTACAGCCTTGGCTTTCCAGGGGCAAGAATGCAGTGGCGGGTGCTTTCCTGCCCAGCGGCCTTCCTGTCATTCCTGCGCATGGGGAAGGGAGCGGAAGCCCATGGCTCCTCCAGCAGTCAAGCACAGAGGGAGACCCAGCTTGCAGAGGCAATGTTTGAATGTCTGAAGGCCTCCAGAGGACCTGCCTCTGCTGCCTTAATCTGGAGCTGTTTGGAGCGCCTGGGAGCCTTCCCAGGAAGAGCAGGTGTCTCTTCAGCTTTGCATGCGCCCTGCCAGAAAGCAGCGCTGTGGCACACCTCTGGAACCAAGGCAGCCCAGGGTTCTTTCCCCCCCTCGCCCCCGAGGCTCACAGCTTCAAAGCGCAAGGCATGACTCTTAAAACAGTGCAACTCACTTCAGATGCTTTGGCCTTTCATTTTATGATTGCTTGTCACGCAATGTTCTTGGGAAGCTTGCTCATATATGATCTGTTCCATTTTTTTTCCATTTCCCTTTTTTGCATGCTGTACCTCCTGTTTCTTCCCTTCCTCCAAACTCTGTTCCCGTGTGTAGACACAACGGCGGCGGCAGAACCGGCAGTTCACGGTTGGTATTGCATTCCTGTTTTATCTCTTCTCTCAGCCGAGCTGAGGGGCAAGGCAAGCCTGGGAGAAAAGGGGGAGCGGGATGCGGGGAGGGGCCGAGGTGAAATTGGGGCAGGGGACAATCACCTTTCCAAAGGGGCTGATCTCGTAACATCTCGTGTTTTTTAAGGCCTGAAAGGATGTCTAGGTTTGTCTCTCCCACGTGCATTCAACTGCATGCCACGTGACCGTTTCCCCACACCCGCAGAAGCGTCAGGATAGCAGAGCAGAAATGGAAGCAGGGCTCCATCTTTATTTTTAGCGCCCTGTCTGCATTTCCCAGGGATTTCCTGAAGTGGCCCAGAGAAGTGCAAAACTCCCAGAGCTCCAGGACAGTGACGCAGCCCGACCTCTTTCGGGCGCAGCCTGGCCCACGCGTGCCGCCTGCCCTGGACCCAGACAGCTGAGCGGGAGGACCGTGCTCGTCTCTTTCTGATGCAGTTGCTGTGCCATCCTTGACAGCTTGCCTCACCCCACTGTCAATTTGCAAAGCGTGATGACTATTTGAGGCTTAACCAGTGTGATGAAATATTGGAGAGATGACTTTAATGTCATTAAGCTGACTATGCTTAAGTTAAAATAGGCCTCCGTATATTTATGGTTTAAAATGCACTTCTTTCCGTCTTAAGAGACACTCAGCTTGGCAGGTCATTAGAATAACTGTCAGGATGGATAAAAGAGAACACTGGGTGTTTATGTACAGGTTAAGAATCCTGATTGGGCTCGGATGAGCTCGTGCATCGGCTGGTCCAGGAGAATTTCATTGTTAGCTTCAGCAGAAGCTGCCTTTACACGGGCGGCTGGTCAGCATAGGAGTGTGCTGCTCCTGCATTTGCTATTAGAGATCTTGAAATTTAGCCCTTGTCCATAGGAAAGCATCTAAGTCAGTGTTGTCCAAACTTGGTCACTTTAAGATGAGTGGACTTCAACTCCCAGAATTC